TATATATATATATATATATATATATATATATATATATATATATATATATATATATATATATATATAAAAAAGAAATGGCATTATATAAAATATGGTTTAAGAGTGAACTTTAAAAATAGGCTTAATTTTAGAGACTTGGTTTTTTTTTTAAACTTAAAGTTCTAAAAACTCTGGATTGTGGAACTCTATAAAGTGTGATATTCTAACCCTATCATATACAAAAAATTTCTGAAAAAATGTTTTTTTTTGATCTAATAAAAAAAACGTACTTGATAATTTTAAGAATTACTGATATTTAAAATAGGGAGTTTAGGCAACTTTTATAGCAAATGTTTTTATTTTAAATGTATTGGATTCCTTAATATATTTCATTTCCAAAACTGTTTCAACCACTTCTGTAGCTTATATATTTTTTAAAGATATGCATGTTTTAATATTTTCAGTTCATAGACTTTTTATGAAATATTTTTTTAAACTATCTCGTTTAAATTTTTAACTTTTATAAAAGTTGGTTTAGGCGAAAAGTTTTTACGCAAGAGAAAAAAATCATTAAAAAATCGTTTATTTCGGTGCCAAAAATTTAACGAGATAGTTTAAAAAAATATTTCATAAAAAGTGTACAAATTTTTAACAAAATTTTTAGCAAAATAAAATTTTAACAAAATAAAATTTTTAACAAAATAAAAAAATATTTCATAAAAAGTGTACAAATTTTTAACAAAATTTCTAACAAAATTTTATTAAATTTAATAAAATTTTGTTGTAAATTAAATCGTAAATCAAAATTATAGTTATAATTTTGATTTACAATTTTCGATTTATTTAATTATAAATATAATTTTATTTAACAGTAGAATGTTTTAAACTTTTTTAACATAACTTAAATTTTTAAATAGTTTAATTTATAAAACGTTAAGCGTAATATTAGCGTAAATAAATAAAGCGTAAATTTAGCGTAACAAAACTTTGAGGAGAAATTAACTTTTATTTAAACTTCTTTTAATAAATTATCTAGTGAAAAACGTTGACCCAAATGGATAAATCTAAAATTCTGCACCTCAGTGGTCAACTATCGTAACTGCAAAATTGCTTATTTTCAGGTTTTTATCTTAACTGTCACATGGAGACTGTCTTTATATGGTATTAAAGATATTATTCAGACCCACTGAAATGTATGAAGAACTTCAAATATCAATTTTAAAGATAAAAAAAGCTGTTTCTTATCAGAAAAAGAAGTGTAGTAACTTCATTTGGCTCTTCTGTAAAATTTGTCAAATGTGATCTGTGATGTAAGGCATCTTTTGCAACTTGTTTCAAGTTGCAAAAGATGCCTTAAATGTTTTAAAAGATGTATTAAATTGTTTTGTCTTCAAAAAAAAAAATGAATTGTACTATCAACGTATTCAAATTTGTCTGACGCTGATTATTTGATCTCAGAATTTAAAATTTTTAAAATTCATTTAAACTTTACTAAATTTACTGAAAAAAAAGTTTTTATTATCGAACTGCAATTAAAACTTTAGAGTAGCCTACCCTAAAATAAGAGTAACCTACTGTTAAAAAAAGATGAGGATAGCAGGCAACTCTGTTTCTCCAAGTTTTTATTATATTTAAAATTTTTTTTATCATATTTAAAAAATTTGACCGCCCTTTCTAACAGTAAAATCACAGATATATATATATATATATATATATATATATATATATATATATATATATATATATATATATATATATATATATATATATATATATATATATATATATATATATATATATATATATATATATATATATATATATATATATATATATATATATTATTATTATTATTATTATTATTATTATTATTATTAAAAGTTGTTAGGTGTAGCATTTCTTCCACCTGTGGCAAATTTTTTTAACAATACAGTGAATGCATCTGAAATTCATAAAGAAACAATACTAATAAGCAAAAAAAAAAAGAAAAGAAAATTTTAAAAAAGAAAATGGTTATGATTTAAAAATGGATTACTTTACACATCTAATAGATTTTGAAGATACGCAATATTGAAGATATGCAATATAACAGAGCCGTTAAAGGCAAAAGAGCTTCTCTTCTCAACTAAATTTTTTATCGCATAGTCTTAGAATGTGACAAAAAACGTTTTTGTAAGAAAAAGGTAGAAGGAAGCAAAATAAAAAACTTGTCTTCAGAGGAATTATATTAAAATCTCCTTATTGTCATTCAAGAAAGTTTAACACCATACAACCAATCTTAATTAATATAAGAAATAATTGTGATGTTTAAAAGCTTAAAAAAATTAATAAAAAAACAAGGATGCAAGACTAAACAAATTAATAGAGCAACAAAAAAAAAAATTCTTAATCAAAATTTATTAACAATCCATCTGATTTTGAAGGTTTTTCTATACAATAAATAATACATATTCCGAATAATACATATTCGGAAAATTCAAGAGTCACTCGAAGTAAACATAGCTAAAGTTCGACAAAAACTTGGAAGTGATGAAAAAGTTTTAAATAGGGATGATGGTGATTACGTGACGACAAAAACTTGGGGGCCATTTTTTGTTAGATTATTTGACGTCAACATTTAAAGCTATTTTGTATTTTGTTATGCTCTTTTTAATGTTATCTTTTTAACGGTTAGTTTTTATTACAACAATTTTCTTTGTAACGATTTTTATTTATTACACCTGATGATGCTGATCACAATAAATCATATATATATATATATATATATATATATATATATATATATATATATATATATATATATATATATATATATATATATATATATATATATATATATATATATATATATATATATATATATATATATATATATATATATATATATATATATGTATATATATATATATATATATATATATACATATATATATATATATATATATAAATATATATATATATATATATATATATATATATATATATATATATATATATATATATATATATATATATATATATATATATATATATATATATATATATATTGTGCAGCCGTGGCGCACTTGCCTCAGAAACGTAAGATCCGTGGTTCAAACCCCACCTCTGAGCAAGTTTTGCGACATCGGTTAGAAAGGATCACTTACAGAAAAGTAGTTTACTTTATTAGGATAGGATGAGATAACGTTGGCCTAAGGGTCTAATCAACATTTATCAGATTTTCAGAAGAAAGGTTTTAGATAGAGGCCTTTTTTTCCTGTTTGTTATAGGTGGTTAAAACAGCTTTTTAAATTTTAAATATCAGCTTACTAGGCAAGTTCTAGAGTATATTTCTTATTTAAAATGGCGCATACATTTAAAGAGTGATTTTTATAAAAAATCTTAAACTTCAGGGATAGGGTGTTAAAAACGGGGTCTATCACAAATAAAATGTTTTGAAGAAAAATTACCAGATCATTAGGTTCAATTAGTTTCAAGACAGAATGATGCATAGTTTTTTGGAATAACAACATTTTTGTGTGGGTCAATGTATTTTGTGCCGTTAAGAATCTGATACTTATACAACGATAAATACATTTAAAATGAACTTAGTATAAATTAAAAGTCTGACTATGTTTTTGGATTTATTTTTCTGGAGTCATGTTACTATGGATTTTTTTAGATGATCATTAAAGATGTAATGATAATATGTTTTCAATTCAAACTAGTAGATCAGTGGCATAGGAGGGTCGCGAAAGATGGAAAGGGGGGGGGGGCTGAAAACATATATTAAAAAGAAAAAAGTTCCTCAATTTTGTATGATACACCAAAATAGATGAAAATGCCATATTTATTCACACGCAACGTGATTAATCATCTTTTTAACGTGATCAGCCATCTTTTACCAGCACACATTCATTTAAAAAATAGTTAGTATGCGATAGTATCTTAAACAGTTTTATTGGAATATACTTTTCCATAGTGATGTTTAATTGAGTCATTGCAGACTGGAAAATGATAATTCCGGTGTTGCTATCGTAAATATTTTTTTTAAACTGTGAAAATGAAGGAAAAATGTGAGAGAATGGGGGGGGGATGCAGTGTTCTCCCTCCGTGTTTTAGTTACCCCCTCCTCCTCTTGTTCCTACGCCAGTGTAGTAAATAACGCAGTGTAGCAGTTTTGAAGGATTGCACATTAATTTTTTATTATAAAAAAATGTCGTTTTTATAGGAGAATGAATCTCTAATATTTAACACAAAATATTTTTGGATTTTCAACTTAGCTTTTGCTTTAATTTTTTCTTTAAACATAATTTCATCCCATTTTGACTTTTGTAAGTACTTCAACTTTTAAATTAGATAAAAAAAAATATTAATTTTGCATTTTTTGCAATTTAGCGCTTTGAACGAGTAAAGTTCTTTTGCGTTTAAAATAACTATTATAATAAAGTTTAAATATATAAATTTAAACTTTTCAAATAATTTAAATATAATACTTACTCAATGACTTCAGTCATAATTTACTTTAAATTGGTATATTTCATTGAAAAAAGATAAAAATTTAACTTAGACGTACATTACTCCACTAAACGGAGTAATGTTTAAAGTTGTCTAAGGAGCACTCAAATTAGTGCTCCTTAGACAACTTTAAAATTCATGTGTATACTTTATTTGACGTAGGTTAATAAAAATGATGTCTAATCATGATTTTTAAAATTGAGGATGTTTTTCTTAATTTTGTCAATTTATCGCCGATGCTGCTTTGAAAGCAAATAGATATGCCACCAAATACCGTTTGTTTTATTGAAACTATTTTACTGAAACGCTGACATTTTAAAACAAATTAAAATAAACTTTTGACATAAGTTCTTATCAAACTTTAGTTTTTATCTTAATGGAAGTCTTTTCAAAAAAAATTAAATTTTAATTAACCGTTATAATTTACTATTTTTGTAGTTTGTATAATGAATTGTGGTTTGTATAATGAATATAAAGAAAACTTTGTAAAACTTTCAACTGATTTGAAAAAAGTTGTGAAAGGTTATGCTTTAAAAATTAAAAAAAAATTTAGTCTTTCGAAACTTTTTTACGCTAATGTAAGAGCTTCTGATTGCGATAAAGAAATTTTAACAATTAAAATTATAAACAATCTGTCAAAAGATTTATTATTGAGCTGTTGTTATCGACCTCGTGCTAGTGTAAGCGAAAACCTGAGCTTTTTTTAACGCAGCATTTTTAAATAAAATATTAAAGAAAGCAAAAAGAACATTATTATTGAGGACCTGCGGTAGACGGTAATCTTTTTTTACGTAGTTAGTTTATATTTATTTGATTAGTTAAAAAATAACATAACAATAACAGAGCTAATGAAGCAGGTCTTCTTTGTATGGAAGTGTTATTCTTACGCTGAGTTAGTGAAGCCTGCGTCCCGGCCACTATAGGTTGTAGCGGAATTTAGAATCATAATCATTTATTAATGATTATGATTCTTGCAGCTGACCATCCAGATAAATCCGACATCTTTGGAAGCTTTATATGGACTCAGAATAAGCATAGTTATGCTCAATCAGGCATGTGCGCATGCGCGCGTTTGAAAAAATTGAACTGAAAAATCAAAATAAAAACAACGTATTGTAATCACTGATCTCTATAACAACTGGATAGCGCATCTCCTAATAAAATTTCGAAATTTTTGAAGCCAAAAGACGCCATATTGGAAAGCCCTAGAATTAATAAATCCGTATTTGCGTTAAACTTATATGCGCTTAAAACATAGATTTCGCTTGATAAATAGAAAATGCAAAAACCTTATAAATGCATTGATTATTAAAAACCGAGTAAATCTGATGTTATATGTTCAGATTATTTCATGGAGAGTGACATAAATATATATATATATATATATATATATATATATATATATATATATATATATATATATATATATATATATATATATATATATATATATATATATATATATATATATCATATATATATATATATATATATATATATATATATATATATATATATATATATATATATATATATATATATATATATATATATATATATATATATATAAATTAACTTAACGCTTAACTGTCGAAAAATACTTTCAAGACATTTTTGTAAATGCCATTAGACATTTTCACAACACCAGAACATTTAGATATAGATATTGCAATAACAAAAGAATATGTTAAAGTAAAAAAATATAAATAAAATAGTAGTTAGCTCTATCATCTTGAACAAAATAATCATTGAATAACTTGTATAAGCATTGAATAACAAAATAAACATTGAATAAAAAGGTATTAAGTGGTAGGGAAAAGTATAAAAGTACACTTCGAAAAAAAATTGTTCACCTTTCATTTTGGTCTTTTATGTTGCTTATTTGTTTTCACAAGAAATATTTTTAATATTTATTAATTATACAACTAATATTTATCATGAGAAAACTGATAGATGTTAGCTGAATCATTATTATTTTACTTTAGAGTCAATAGTTTTAAAAAAACTTGAAAGAAACCATGTCTGTTTTCATTTATACCATATTTACATATACACAATCAACGTGTATACGGTGCTGTTATTTAGTCTAAAACACTAAATACTTTAATATAAAACTGCAAATAACTAGTTATCACCAAATATTTAGTGTTTTTTAAAGTTAGAGATAGCTTTTTCAAACCTTCACAAAGTGTAATTAAAGTTAGCAAACCAACAGAACAAAACATTGTTATTAAGTGATATCAATTTTAATAAAGTATTGCATAGTTGATGATATTTCAGTTGTGGAACATTATAAACATGTCAAAAATTAGAAAACCATTTACAAAAATGTTTGATACAATGCTTTTATCATGTTTTATACTTGTAAAGTTACTTTCCAGCTACTATTGCTAAGTAAGGTCGCATCAAGTTGTTAAAATAAACACCCAAAAGTAACCAGATTAAATATCAATTTGTCTTTCAGAAAAGTTTTATTTAGAATATCATAAATTCAATAAATTTAACAAGTTCATAGAAAGCAATACAAATTTTATTATTTCTTTATAGCGATATTTCTCTTCGTCGTTATTGTTTTGCGTGTTTTTGATTCCCTTTTATAATTTTTACACCTTCAAACATTTTAAATATAATAATATCATTGAAATATGTGACTTGGTCGAGTAGATATAAACGAAGTAAAAAGGTATATCCTCAAGCGCAATCACTGTATTTTCGGTATTTAGGGGCTTTCCAATATGGCGGCCGTACAAAAAATTGGCTTCACTTTTGATAATAGAGATGCGCTATCCAGTTATTATAGAGATCAGTGATTGTAATGTAATTGTATTGCATAACAAAAGTGAAATAAAATAATAACAACATAAAAAATTAAAAAACAATACAAATTTTTTTTTTTGATTTATTCAATTTTGTTTTGTAAATTAAAGTAAATATAATTATTTTTTTGAAATGATATTATTTTTTAATTTTTTTGAAACAATATTATTATTTTATTTTTTTGAAACGATGTTTTTCAAGATATTTGAGATAATAAATTTTGACTCCTTATTGCTTAGATTTTTATAGTTAATATTTAATTAATTGTATAATCTAAGCACTTTAGAGTTATCAAGATTTTTTTTGACTTGTTGCTGCTTTTTAGATTAGAACAACGTAATGTGCATTTTATTTTTACTACTTATTTTTTATATAAAAAATAATAATAAATTAAGCGAGACGTGGCGCAGTGGTAGCGCTCTACCCTCTGAAATAAGGAATCCGTGGTTCAAACCCCACCTCTGGAAAAAGTTTGAATTTTGGGTAAGAAGGAGGCGTGAACATTTAAATGCTCATCCGCGGTGTTCTGTGATAAGATCGTAAGGACTTCTCGGTGCACCTAAATAAAATTAAAATAAGATTTAAAAATCTTTTAAGCAAATCCGCATAAATTTATGTGGGTCGATGATTTACCAATAGTTATGTCAATAGACGCCAATGTCAATTGATGTCCACAAAATTTTTTGTTGATTAAACGACATACCTCACTTTTATGCATGATAGTCTTTTACTTTACTTCTTTTTCTTTGTATCAGACACATGAAGAAAAAATTCTAATATGAAGAAAAAAAATGATCTTTTTCTTTATATCAGTTATAAAACACATGCATCAGACTTCTTTATAAAACACATGCATCAGACTTCTATATAAGGGACACGCATTTTGTGGCAAAATAATTTTCTGGTCAAAAAAATAGCTAAACCATTGAATTTTAAAACTCACAAGTTTCAAAAAAAAAGAAAACAGCAAAAAATAATTTTAAAAAATTTAATAGATAAATAAAAAACGAAACAAAACATGTTCAACAGCTTTTCAAAGTTTGTTGACTTGCTACTGAAGCAATACCTAAAACATTTTAATAACTTAAAGGTGCGTCTATTTTTGTGGTAGTATGAAAAAGTAAAGAAAAAAAAATGATAATAATTAAATCAAAAAGAACGCATGTGCATTGTAAATATTCGCCTGGTATCAATTAAATATTCGCCTGGTATCAAGGCACAGTGGGCCAGAATTTTTTTTCCGTGGCCAAAAGTCCCGAAAAAGTCAAATCTTCTAAACTTTTTTTTTATTTCATTATTGAAACAAAGGTGCTTTACTCCACTCAAAAATGTATCCGCTTAATTACTAGAGATGAAGGCAAGCTTGCTAGAAGCATTGCCTTCATCTCTAGTAATTAAGCGGATACATTTTTGAGTGCTTATAAAAAGTATAAAACATATACTTTTTATAAGCACTAAGCTAATATGTTTATTTAAAATAAAAATAGTTCAAAGCTTTTTTAATTGAAAAAATTTATGTAAATTTTGAGGATAAGTATTTATGAAAAATAAAAATTTTTGCAAATTTTTATTTTTCATAAATACTTATCCTCAAAATTTACATAACTTTTTTCAATTAAAAAAGCTTTGAACTATTTTTATTTTAAATAAACATATTAGCTTAGTGCTTATAAAAAGTATATGTTTTAGTTATATATTTGTATTTAATTTATTCATAATATGTCTTAAAATTGTTGGTATTTTAGAGGTGTTTTTCTAAATTTCCTCATCTTCCTATTTCTAAATGCCACTCGAAGATCGTTTAATTTTCTGATTTTTGCGTTTACTAAACGGCAGTTATTGTTCAAAAAAAAAAACCAGCTGCGACCATGTATTCTTTATGATATATTTTTTAGTTCAAAATCGACGACTTTTTTTGCTTTTATAAAAAGACCGATATAAAGTTAAGTTATTTGTTTAAGGAATATAGTTTTTTTTTTTTTTTTAATTTTATTAAACACATTGAATTGTTATTATTTAAAATAAATTTTATTTTATTATTTTAATATTTTCAAAAAAGGAAAAAAAAAAGAAAATCATTTCACTATAAATGCGTAAAAATCGAATATTTAAGTACTCGACTTCAACCAAATTCTGCTCTCTTGAAATTGGAATGAATGATATTTAGGAAGTATAACGGTTGTTTAATACTATTTAAAAAAATCAGAAGACTAATTAGTTAATAATTGCAGTGATTTGATTAAAAAGTTGTAACGTTAAAAACTTTAAAAAGCCTTAAGCATAAAAAATTAACGTAGACACTGTAAGAAAAGTGAAGTTAGACACTTGCATATACTGTAAGGGTTAAAAAATATTTAAACTATTAGTCATTAACATTATTCATATAGACTTTTAGTGAACTACATTAACTATATTTTATATCGGTAATATTAAATAATCATTTAAAACTTAGAATTTATTTTTTATTGCTCAAGGTTATAATTTTATTTCTATTTTACAAATTAGTGCACATAACAATTGCGCATAAATCAAATGGTAAAAATAATATAAATAAAATCTTAGTCAGTGTATTCAAAGTCAGCATAGTAATAAAATGGCAAATCAGTGTTTTCATTTTCAGATGATTCGATAATATCATTGTGCTCATTTAAATTTCTTATTTAGTTTATGTTTATTGGCTTTAGTTCCTGATTTCTATCATCAAAATCATCATCTAATCCAACTCATTATATTATTCATCCGCATAAATATCGTCATTAGCATCATTTGTATTTTTCTTTTCAGTTTCTTAAAAAAGAATTTTAACTGCGTCTCCATCTAGATTCATTTTTTTATGTTTACATTTTGATTTTGCATAGTTTAGAGATGAAAGAATTGGGTCACTCGAAAGCATTAAATAATTGAATTGGTCCGTCATTGTAGCTTTTCGATCAAATTTGAGAGTGTGTTGTAAACAAAT